CTTGTGAACTCATTGAGTTCGCCAAACCGTTGACCGCTATCGAGTGGCCAAGGAGCTGCGCCTATTGGAATGACGCTGCCGTGGACAAGTTTGTCACGTAACAACATGACCCTGTCAAGTTCGATGGTTGTGCTGCGGGCGTGAAAACTGTTGATGGGATTCCCATGAAGAAACCATGGACCATCAAAACCAACATGCATTTCCTCCAAAATTATATCTTGACGGAAGGGTTTGTTCATGCTCTGTTGAACATGCGGAAGGAAGGGCGAAATCTTAAGAATACGGAGTCCTACACGTATGTCATGACCAACTTGATTCACAAGGCTTTCGCATATGCAAGGTGGCAACTGCATTCGTCGCGACCATGGCTGAGCCTATCCCAACTGAGAAGACCCTCAAGCATGTGAGGTCCGCGTTTGATCCCAGGAACTACAAAGATGTTCCGTTGGCCCGGATCTTCTTGCTCCATGACGGCACCGTCAAAGCCGAGCTGATTCCGGACTCTTTGCGGATGGCCAACCGAGAGGCTTGGTCAGACACCTTTTGCGATGCGGCCACACAGTCCTTCATCATCAAGGACGTCAACTCGGGTGTGGGCTTGGCCAAGAAAGGTGAGCGAACTGACGCATTGGCTCTTGCCAAGACGGCGCTAACCTCGATCTCTGGGGCTGCGGGAATTCTCAAATCGGCGCCAGTTGAGGCCTTCTATGTCCTCTTCTGCCGGGGAAACCCGCGGTCAACTACCTCTTTTTCGGTGACTCCTTCAATGCATTCCTATAGGTGATCGTTATTTCGTGATCTGGCAATGATGTTTTCGGTCGCAATGGCTATATCGACAAGCCCGCCGCCCTAGCGGGCTGGGCCACAAATACGCAAAGAGGAAGGCTGCACGCTAGGGCAGTGATGACGGCTCGTGAACGGCTTCGTCACATCTCCTACCGCGAAGATGTTCTTCAAGTCCTGATCGTGCCCAGGGATTTCGAGGCCTACGGCTAAACCGAATCCTACAAAGTCTCAAATGAGCGCGGGGGCGACATCACTGTGCTCAACCCCCAGACCCTGATCAACAACACGGACCGGATTCACACCAACGACAATGATCTGAACCGGAAGCACTACCTTCAATACTTCGTTGCTGCGGCGAAGCTGGGCCATTCGGCAAAGCCGAGAGCGCCATCAACTGGTTTCTCTTGGAAAGAGAATACATGGAGGGCGCTTCACCCCAGGAAACTGGCGGTCCTGCCTCTGCGAAAAATCCAGAAGATCCTTTTGCCAACAAGGCCCGGGAGAAAGAATTGCAGGCGGTGAACAAGATTGCCGCGCAGGAGCCAAAGCGGGAAGTATTCCTCGAAGAAGAAAAGGAGATGAACCCTGTTTACCCGCTTGATACAACGAAGGAGAAATCCAAGGTGCTTCGGATGATGCAGCCGGACATTCATGCCCCAAGAATTGGCCTGGACGATGTCGACGATGTGCTCGAGTGGACCTTGTCGGAGGACGAAGAGACCATCGTGGACTTGCCTGGCTATCAGCCAAAGCCGGCCGGAGGCCAGGCTGTGAAGGCAGCAATTGATCCAAACGATGTTGGCGACGGCAAGACCGGCAAGATCAAGCTCTTTCTCTCAAAGCCGAAGAGCTACAAGATGACAGAAGCTCTCTCCACCGCCACACCCAAGAAGTCAAAGGCCATGCCGAAGCAAGTGGCCTCCAGCGACAAGGCGCCGGCAGTAGCAGTACTCAGCCCGGAGAGATCCGTGGCCAGGGAATTTCCCCGAGGGGTCAGTATTCCTCAGTTGGCGGACCATGGGCAGAGAATTTTCCTCAGCAAGAAGATCTCCTATCTCGTGCGTGTGGCCATGCGCATGAGCATGCCAAAAGGTCACGTCCTCGCGAGCGCACGTGGTTTTCGGCTCGCAGGCGCACGTAAATTTGGTCTCGCCCGCGCATGTAGAAGGCTGGATTTCGTGGTAGGTGCGGTACTTTGGCCAAGTTTTTCGTGGGTCTCGCCCGGTCTCGCCGGCGCATGTGATACCGCGCATGTCCCCCAAAAAGGCAAAGCACGTGAGCCTCGCACGCGCATGTAAGCAAAAACGCACTAGTAGCGCACGCGCATGCAAGCCTTTCATCCATGCTTGATCCCATCCAGGGATGCACGGGGCGGTTGCGTCTTGCACTCGGCCTCGTGCTTCTTCTTCATGTCGTTGGCTTTTCTGCGTGCTTTGCAAAGGAAGCGGCCACAGGGACGCTCTACGTGCGTAGTGTCGCGCGTGCTTGGAAGTGAGCGGCTAGAGGGACGCTCTTCGAACGTCACCACACGTTCTTACCACACGAGTCACGACACGCAGGCGTAGCGGAAGTTGCGCGCTCTGCCTGCCATGATGAGTGACCTTTCTATGCGAGTCCTTAGTGCGAGTCCTTTCTATGCGAGAGCGGGTGTGCTTACTATTTCGCATATTTCGCATGCGTGGATGCAGTGCTGAGCGGGTGCGCTTGAGTAGGTGCGCTTCCTCTTTCGCGTGCGTGGATGCAGTTGAGCGGGTGCACTTGAGCGGGTGTGCTTATCCCCCCCCCGCCCCCCCCCCCCCTGCATGCGTGCAGTGCTGAGCGGGTGCGCTTGAGCAGGTGCGCTTCCTCTTTCGCGTGCGTGGATGCAGTGCTGAGCGGGTGCACTTGAGCGGTGTGCTTACCAACCCGCCCCCACGCATGCGATGTGCTGAGCGGGTGCGCTTGAGCAGGTGCGCTTCCTCTTTCGTGTGCGTGGATGCAGTGCTGAGCGGGTGCACTTGAGCGGGTGTGCTTACCATCCCCCCCCCCCCTCCAAACCCCCCCTCCAAACCCCCCCCCTCCCGCCCACAAGGAAGCCAGGTCCTTCCTGGAACTGGATTTCGTGGCAGGAGCATTTTTTTGAGTGACTTGGAGCGCTCACGTGGTCATGTGAGACCCGAGCCGCTGCGTGCGCCGACGCTCCAAAAGCTGCGCCCGCGCGCTAAATTGGCACGCGCATGCTTGTGAAGCGACCTGCAAGAGTGCGGTTGCAACCAGGTTCCGCGTGGGTTTTGCAGCTGGATTTCGTGGCAGGCACGCTTTTTTGTGTGGTTTGGAGCGCTCACGTGCTCCTGTGAGACCCGAGCCGCTGCGTGCTGCGACGCTTGAAAAGCTGCGCCCGCGCGCTAAATTAGCACGCGCACGCTTGTGAAGCAGCCTGCGAGAGCGCAGATTTGGGGCTGGATTTCGTGGCAGGCGCAGTACTTTGACCACATGCTCCTGTGAGACCAGAAACGGCTGGAGTGTCCACGTGTGCCGGTGAGACCGAAACCACGTGCTCCTGTGAGGCCCCAACCCCTTGCCAAAAGGTCTATCCCTGAGATCAACCTGAAAGACCGCTCGCTCGACTTCCCCGCCGTTGCCAAGTGGATTCAGAGACGCTACGATTGGCACTGTTCCCAACACACATCGCGCCAGGCGGCATGCGCTTCCACGTGCTTTGAGGTCTACGTCGAGTACGCGGCCCGCGGCACACAATGGAACGGCTGAAGATCATGCCGCTGAGAATCAAATCGATCACGGGTCACAATGATTGGGTGACCGAGGCAAGTGGATTTGACCACATTCCTGGCGTTCCCGTCATCGAACATGCCAAGAGTGGCGTGCGACCGGGGTTCTGCTGGAACTTCTCGGACGCTCGCCGAAAGGCGATGCCCGGGATCGCGTATCACACCTGCAATACGCAGAACTTTTTCGACATGAGCATCTTCCGTGGCGGCAAGGGTGACAATCAGTCTTCTCGCGGCCACGCCTACCTAACGGCAGTGCCGCCTTGGGGTAGGCATGGGCGCAAAGCAGGTGGTGCACGAACCGACAGACCGATCAACATCGCGATCAACGTTGAAATGCTGGTCCAGCTTGGTTGCAGGCCCTACGCGCCCGGAGACGGGGAAGCCTTCGTCACGGAAGACTGGATCACCAACAAGGTGATTATCTACGCGTACGACGCTGAGTACGCAAGGTTCACTTCGACGAGAACCTGCCCAACAAAAAGCAAAAGCCATTCACGGTGTGCTCTATAACGCAGCTGGGCTCGCGCGGTGAAACAGCAGCCCGGGGAGACCCGTGGCCGGAGCGGAGCGGACTTTGGCAAGACCTTGATCCGAACAAGAAGAAGGCAACCAACTGGCGATTCGCGGAAGTGATGCATGTGCCGGATGAGATTTGCAAGCAGCGCAGCATCTCGAACCCCGTCGGCAATCAATTGCTTCCAATGTGATCTTCTTCAAGAGCGCATGCCGGATGCCAAGAAAATTGCTCGGGCGATCAGGCTTCAGGAGATGGAACAGATCGAGACACAGATCCTTACAACGCAAGGATGCCCGGGGCGACCGTAGCGCAAGAGGAGGGCTCGGAATCATGAAAGACATCGCGAAGAAGGCCGTGCTCAGGAACAAGGAGTACGGAACTTTGTACGAGCGTCTCATCAACGACCCTTTCTACTCGCACACGGCTCCTCGGGGAGACCTGACGCCCTCGGCTCTCGAATTCATCGGGCCCGTTGCATCCTTCCCAGCTTCGAGCGGACAGGGGACATGACCAAGTGAATCGTTTCCGTGCCCAAGGCTGCCCAAGTATGCTGCACGGCTAACGCTGGTGCCACCTGAAGAGGATCAACCCGAACAGTGTCTAGGTCGTCCACGGTGGCAGAGTCCTGGAGACGGAGCAATTCGCGGCGCTCTATGGCAGCTTGGAGAAGGATGTTGTGTTCATCCCTAACATTTGTCCTCCTGTTTCACCGTCGGTCACGGGGGTGTATTTTGCAATGTGATGTATTTATCAACATCATAACCCCAATTGCATGAGTGTCTCGCTGGCGTAGCTTTGTCATACTCGCTACGCTTGGCTCAAGAAAAGAGCGCTTATCGCAGGGTTGAATGTTGACCCTTCTTGGTTGTTTAACCTGTCCTATAGCATCCTTGACACCCCGCTCGAACCGACCGTAGAGCTGCGAGGCCGCAGTGGTGGTGCTGGACCAGCTCTCGCCCTCAGTGCAGCGGAGCGACGCCTTTGCTGCGGCGCTGTTGAACTTCTGGGGCGTCGGGGACCGCCGCCTCCACACGGGCCTGCCCGGAAACCCGGAAACAAGCAAACCCGAATGAGAAGGGAGCGAGAGAAACGAGGGAAAATACGAGCGCACGGAAAACGCGCAAATGCGCTGCCGGGCATCGCCGCTTTCGAAAATCTTTGATTGAAATCGCTCAGGAGTGTCCGTCAGCCATGCCCGAACGAGCCAAAAGTCTTAAAAGTCAAAGCAAAATGCGGGGCTCGCAGTTTTTGTTTCGAGAACTCCGAGGTTGATTTTGCTTCTGGTCGGCCAGCGGCGCCTGGAGATGCGGACGGGCTACGGCCTGGCGCGCGTGCTGCCGAAGGAGCTCTTGCAGCGCGTGCAGCAAGAGAGGAGCGGCGGAGCGTTGCGAAACGAAAAACGTACATTTGCAATTCGCAACTAAGAAGAAGACTCAACAGACATACTGCACATACCAAGCAACTGAGAAAGAGACTCGTGAGGATGCTACCCCACCTGGCGGCTGGATCCCCGGGCCGCGCACTCCGTGAAGGCGGGAGACGAAATGGGCGACACGAGATGGGTCGGAAGCGATAGCCGTTGGCTATTTGGTTTTTCTATATTTGCTCACTTGCCTCAGTTTGTAGAGCGAGCGTCCGAATGAATATGGAGGCCTGGAGGCGATCCTGCAAGCCATGGAAGCAGCGCCCAAGCACTGGCGCGGGCCGTTCGAACAGCGGAACAAGCCCGATGCTGAACGCCAGGTTCGTCCGCAGGTCAGTTGCGGCGTTTGCGCGGACCTTGCTTGCGGGGATGTGGGGACTGAGATCTGAGGTATGGCTTTGGAGGCGGGCAGACACCGATCAAAGAGTTCCTGCCATGAAAAGCGAGCGTGCGAATCTGGGGCAAGATGGAAGTTGTTCCAACCGTGAATGTTGTTGGAGCTGGTTTATTCGGATGCAGATTTCAACCCTGTTGCACTGTTCGATTGCCAAGTTACCAGGTTGACAATTCAATACCCATATTTTGTTGACGTGAGGCTTGTATTGTCACTTGTCAAAGAAGTGCGGCGTTTGAGCAGTTTGTGCTTGCGTGCCTGGTGTGCGGAAGTCATGGACCACCAAGCATGGTCATGGCCATCCTGAGTGCTGACAGGGTGGGTGGGTGGGCTTTAAAAAGGCGAAAGAGGGATCGAACCCTCTAACCCGGTCCCTCGAAATGGCTTGAAGCAAAAGCGGCAACGGTGAAAGATTCGAACAGGATTAAAACACGGGGGAACAAAACACCCCAAGCTCTTAGAGAGCCCACGAGGTTGCAATTTGCGATTAGGTGCCAATCCGAACTTTGACACGTCAAATTCTGCTCGGGATCATGTTGATCAATCTTGGCACGCGCCAACACAGAACAAAAGCAATTTGCCTTTTGCCGGCCTGAGCCTCCGAGCAGCCATATTCCTTGCCCCGCCCTGGCACCCCCACACAAACATTTCAAGAGCAAGGGACAAATCGGTTTGTGCGAAGGAGATGGTCACCACCGGGTGCCTTGCTTCAAGTTGCTTCAGCACAAGGGAAGCAGGATAAGCTGAATATGTTTAAATATTTGATTGTGTGAGGTGCTGCTCATCCATTGCAGTTTTGCCACAGCATGAACAGCTGAGCCTCTGATGTTCGAACGCGCATGGCGTCGGCTTACGAGAAGAAGGACTTGTTCCAGCTTCTGGCAGAAGACGTTGGCAAATTGGGCATTGCATTCCAGAGTCTCCCGCCTGGCCATGTCAAAGTCAAATCAGTGGCGCCGGGTGGTTGGGGGGAGCTGCATGAAGTTATGGCTGGGGATTTGCTGGTTGAAGCGCAAGGGAAAGACTTGGAGCATGTCTCTGCAGAAGAGTTTCGAGACATGATTCAATCGCAAAGGCCTCTCAGTCTGATTTTTTTCGCCTGTGATCCTATCCCCGGCAGAGAGGATGAGGAATCTGAGGTATCTGTGCAAAGTCGCCGAAGGTCATCTCGTCTGAGCGCGAAGGGAAGTGGAGTGGAGCCATTTCAAAGCATCCCAGCGACGAGCGCCAGGAAGGATGGCCTACCAGGCCTACCACACCCGAAGCCGTCAGACCAGGCACCGTCCCCGGCGCCCACTCCAACAGCCGCAGCGGCCCCCACGACAGCCCCGGCAGCACCGATCATACCAACAACCTCCACAACCCCGACATCCACAACGCCGGCTTCCACAGCGCCGCCGGCGCCCACGGCTCTCACGGCGCCGGCAGCCGCCACAGCGCCAGCGGCCGCACAGTCGGCCACTGCCCCACACATCCCTGCGGCCCCACAGCCCCCAGCGGCCCCACTGGCCCCGGCAGCCGCACAGGCCCCGGCGGCCACACAGGCCCCGGCGGCCCCGTTGGGCTCAGCTGCTTTAGCAACCCCAGCGGCTTTAGCGACGGCAGCGACCGCAGTGACCCCAGCAATTCCAGCGACTCCAGCAACCCCACCTCGGATAGCAACCGCAGCTGTCCAAAAGAGCGCAATGCCCGAAACACAAGCTGCGCCGCCGGCAAAAATTGTGAGTCGAGACGTGCCCGTACAGTCAACGGCATTGCGCGGTACTGTTAGTGCCACAGAGCGTCCGGCTGCTTGTCCTCGGAGCGTGCCAGAGCGCGAGGTGCTTCGGGCCCAGATTCGCCCAACTTCTCCAAGACCCATGGGTGAACAAAGTGTCGGACATGAGACCTCCACAACTGCATCAGCGCGTCCAGACATGCAGGTTGGGAGTTTAGCGCCGAGCCCGGTGGAACCAGCCCAAGGCCGGTTGGTTGGGTGCGTTGGGAGGTTGCTCTTTTTTTTGGGTTGCACGGCACGCTTGTAACTCTTCGTGAAGTCAGCAGTAAGGCAGGTCTGGTTGAGCTCACCGTGAGACTTGTTGTGTGAGCCGGACCTATCGCCAGGACCCTTGGTACATGAAAGCGCTACAATCGCAATGCGGTCGACACTTGTCTGATGAGAAAGTATGTTGTGCAGCCACTTGCCTTTTCCAACTCCGTGCTGCCGGAGAAATAGATCTCAGGAGCGCAGAGACTGACATGAGCCACTTGCAGAAGGCCAAGGCTTGCGAGCACGCATGTGCGGAAACCCGTCAGCGCAGGTGAAGTCAGAGCTGGAGCTAGAGCGGCAGCACAAGGAGTCTGAGCTGAAGATTGCGCACGAGCTGCGCCTGCAGTTGCAGACTACCAAGTCAGAGGCTGAAAACTTGCGCACAAAGCTTGCAAACGCGAAGCTTGAGCTCAGAAAAGAGCTCAATGAGCCGAAAGGCGCTCAGGTTCAGTCGGGATGGGAAGCGCCGCCGAGGGAGGGCCGGGAGGGCTTGGAGGGTGGGGAGGGGCGGCGAGCGGAAAAGGCGCTCCGAACAGAGATAGAAGAACTTGGAGCCACACTGGGTAAAGTCCGAGCTGACCTGCGGCGGTCGCAAGAAGCTGTGGCTCGGCCTACAGTCAGTGGCCTCGTTGTCGTGTTCTTGTTTATTGCGTTTCAGCAAGGTTGCTACTTTCTCAGCACCTAGGTTTTTCTGCCCCTGCTCTAATGAACTTAGTGAACGAGGCAACCTCGACTTGGATGTTAGCAATTGGCGCTGGTGGGTGGCTGTTGCTTGTTGCTGGAGGGTGGTTAAAGGTCCTGTTTCTCGTGGCGGCGATTTTTCATGCTGCTAGGTCTGCTGGTGTAGTTGCAGGCAGCTTGTGCTTGGTCTATCCATGCCGTTCTCTGCCGTCTTTCTCAGTTCCTTGTTCTGTTTTTGCGTGTTTGCTGCTTCGCAGCTTTTGTGTTTATTTGGTTTTAGGCTTTCTAGCATTTTCTAGCATCTTCTATTTGGTTGAGTTCTGTGCTTTGGACTTTCATTTTGCCGGCTCGGTTCGAGAGGTCCGAGAGGCCCGGGAGACGGAGAGCGCGGCAGACGGGACGGGCGCCTTCTCACTGCGTGTGGAGGAGGCTGCAGTGCGAGGCCTGCAGCGGCAGCTGGAGACCACCTCGATCGCCACGCACGACGCGGAGGAGTGTCAAAAACCCAAGAAGTTGAAAGACGGAAGGAGAGAGCGAAGATGTCAATGTACATGTGGTGTGGTACTACATGGCCTTCAGCTTTCTCACTACATGAGCCCATGCAATATAGGAGCCGTGCAGACTACACGTTTTTGTTTTAACAGCATAACAGCACTTGCATTTGTAGTACACAATAGTTTGATGATGGTAGCGGAGCTGAGATCCTATAGTAAGTACAACAACTGCAACGGCAATCGAGTGCCAAACTGCTACGGCGTGCCGGGGGAACCAGCGTCAGCGTCAGAGCAGCCTACTACAGGAACAGACAACGGGCCAACATCAGCAGACTACGGGAACAGGAGCAACGCAGGAGCAAGACAAAGACGTCCAGTCCAGAGAATACACAGGTACAAACTCACCACCTTTCTTAACTGGCGGCTGCCCGCAGTACGAAGAATAGTTGTTCAAACTACAAGCATGTCGGACTCATAGACCGAGACTTCGGCACGGTGCTACAACTTGCACAAGTAGCTACGCGACAAAGTGAAGACGCAGACATCAGAGCACACATGCGCGACCCTACACAAGCAACCAAAGGCAGTAGACCGCGCAAGAGACCTGCGCTACATCCTCATCAACACATGTCATGGAGCGGCAGCTACGGTAGTACGACAAAACCGCTACAGCGCAAATGGATGTGAAGCATGCAGCCTACCAGTAGGAACACGAAGCGTTGGCTATACCTCACCAAACTACTGGAACCTACATTCAACGAAGCGCAGATCGAAGAACAACTCCTAGAGTTAAAATGGGAATACGACATCAACCGCTACGAGAAAGACATCGGCGCAGCACTACCAGATGGAGTGAAGATTGCAATACTACTCAACAAACCAAAGAGCCTCCAACAACATCTCCAACTACGCGCTGGACAAATGACAGGCTAGTCATCCTGGATTACTACAAGACGATTTCCCTTTGCTCAAGATCGACCTCAGCAGTCGGCGCAAACTACAGCGGAGGACCTGCGCCAATGGACGTTGACCACATGTGGAGAAAGGAAGAAACGGCAAAGGCGAAGGACAGAAGGGACATTACAAAGGAAGCAAAGGCAAAGGCAAGTACAGGAGCAAAGGGAATGACAAAGGCAATAAAGGAGGATACTGGCAAAGAATGAATAGCTGGCGCAGGTGCTCCCTCCAAGTCAACCAGGGTGCAAAGATGAGTCACTCAGTGGCAACAGACACAAATATGGCAAACAATGAAAAGCTGCCAAGTCATTGTTTTGATTTCATGCAAGTTGTGGCTGGCGCAGGTGCTCCTTCCAAGTCAACCAGGGTGCAAACATGAGTCCCTGAGCGGCAACAGACACAAATATGGCAAACGATGAATGGCTGCCAAGTCATTGTTTTGATTTCATGCAAGTTGTGGCTGGCACAGGTGCTCCTTCCAAGTCAACAAGGGTGCAAACACGAGTCACTGAGTGGCAACAGACACAAATATGGCAAATAATGAATAGCTGCCAAGTCATTGTTTGATTTCGTGCAAGTTATGGCTGGCGCAGGCGCTCCTTCCAAGTCAACAAGAGTGCAAACATTTGCCACTGAGTCGGGAAACGAATCTCTGCAAAATATTTTAACGCCTCCGGCTCAGGCCGCCGACGTTACAGGCCTGCTTTCTTATTTGCGTCCCTTTGGAATTGTCCCCTTGCCCCCCTTCCCCTCTAGGATTTTTGCCCCCCTTTCCCTGTTGAGATCCATTCCCCCTTTCCCCCCTAAGGCCCATTCTCCCTCTGAGATTTTCCCTTTTCCTCCCTAAGATGTTTTCCCCCCTCTCCCTGTTGAGATCCTTTCCCCCCTTTCCTCCCTAAGGCCTTTTCCACCTGAGATCTTCTCCCTTTTCCTCCCTAAGATCTTTTCCTACCTTTCCCTATTGAGGTCCTTTCCCCACTGTCCCCCAAAATGCATTTTCCCACCCTGTGTTCTTCTCCCTTTTCCTCCCTAAGGTCTTCCCCCCCCTTTCCCCCCTAAATCTGAGATCTTTCCTCCCTGAGATCTTCCCCCCCTTTCCCTGTTGAAATAAGGCCTTTCCCCCCGCTGAGATCTTCTCCCTATTCCTCCCTAAGATCCTTTGCCCCCTTTCCCTGTTGAGATCCTTCCCCCCTTCCCCGTAAGGCCTTTCCAGATCTTCCCCCTTTTCCTTCCTAAGCCCTTTCCCTGTTGAGATCGTCCCCACCCTTTGCCCCCTAAGGCCTTTCCCCCCCTAGAGCTTCCCCCTTTCCTTGATCTTTCCCCCCTTTCCCTGTTGGCCCCAGATCTTTCCCTTTCCTCCCAAATTGGTGGTGTGGTGTGGGGTAAGGTGGGGTAAAGTGGGGGTGGTGGGCCTTCTAACCCGGAAAGTGCAAGCAAATTAAGCAAAACAACGAAGAGAAGGCGGCTTTGTGCAATGACACGCTTGCAAGATTAAGGGAGCAAAAAGAGAAGCAAGCAAGAACAAGAGAGAGGAAGAAGCAAAGGAAGAAGGAAGCAAGAAAGGTGGCAGGAAAGAAGAAGAAAGAAGAAAGGGAAAGGAAGTTTTTGAACAAAGGGTAAGAAAGTGTGTTGGAAGAAGGGGCAGAAGCAAGAAACCAAAGAGAAGAAAGTAGAAGGAAGAAAGAAAAAGCTTGCGCAGAAGAAAAAGAAAGAAAGGAGACAACAAGGTGCTTTTGAAGCTTTGAAGGTTTTTCAAATTTTAAACCTAATCCAAGCAGTTTTTGAAAAGATGCCTTTTGTTGCAAAGCAGAAGCCCAGAGAAGGCATGTTTTCCACCCCTTTCCCTGTTGAGATCATTTCTCCCCTTTCCCCCCTAAGGCCTTTGCACCCAGATCTTCTCCTTTTCCTCCTTTCCTTAAGATCTTTCCCACCCTTTTTTGCTGAGATCCTTTCCCCCTTTTCCCCCTAAGGCCTTTCCCCCCCTGAGATCTTCTCCCTTTTCCTTCCTAAGATCTATTCCCCCCTTTCCCTGTTTGCCTTTTTCTCAAGATATTCTCCCTTTCCCCCCCTTTCCCTGTTGAGATAATTTCTCCCCTTTCCCCCCTAAGGCCTTTTTTCCCCAGATCTTCTTGCTTTTCCTCCCTAAAATCTTCTTCCACCTTTCCCTGTTGAGATCCTTTCCCCCCTTTCCCCCCTAAGGCCTTTCCCCCCCTGAGATCTTCTCCCTTTTCCTCCCTAAGATCCTTCCCCTTGTGATCCTTTCCCTCCTTTACTCCCTAATCCCTTTCCCCCCCTCAGATCTTTCTTTTTTCTCCCTAAGATCCTTCCCACCCTTTCCCTGTTAGATCCTTTCCCCCTTTCCCTCCTGAGGCCTTTCCGCCCCCTGAGAGCCCCTTTTCCTTCCTAAGATCTTTTCTCCCCTTTCCCTGTTGGCCTTTGTTCCCTCCAAATCTTCTCCCTTTCCTCCCTAAGATCTTTTCCACCTCTTTCCCTGTCGAGATCATTTCTCCCCTTTCCCCCCTAAGGCTGTTTTCCCCTTCATTTCCAGATGTTCCTGCACCAGCATGGGCAACATCCCCAGCATCACTTGCATCATCCGCATCCTTGGCAGGCGCTGACCGCGTGGTACGTGAGGGGTAGGGGGAGGGGTAACAAGTAAAGAGGTAAGGCATTTTCCAACACGCCGCCTTGTCGGCGCATATTGTGAATACGCAAACTAAGAGCTGCAGCAGTCTACGCAGGCACAACTAGCAAGCTCGGCTGTCGCATCCCAAACTGTGCGCGCACACAATGAGCCAGCCTTGCTGCAACTCTGCAAACAGGATGTGGCCTGTTTAGCTGTGAAATTTGCAAGCAGACGCAACGAGCAAGCTTGGCGCGGTCTGCTTCGCTGTGGCTGTTTTGCTGTGGCTGCCAGTTGACATTCTGCAAACGGCCAAGGTGAACCCTCGCAATGTGCTCTCCCAGGACCAGGTCAAGGAACTCAGAAAGACTGCTGGAAAACTCAGGCAAAGCCCTTGGCCGTCAAGGAACTCGTGCTTCAGTAGCAAGGCCGAGGCCGTCGTGTCCACCTTAACGGAATTGCCGGCCTCCAGGGCTGCGTCCAGGACCTGACACGGGCTGCCAACTGCTTGGATGGATCAACACAAGATCCCAAGAAAAAAATCCTGGCAGGACCTTTCTTTGGATTTCGTGAATGAGCACTTTGTTGAGAACAAACTGCTGGTCAATGATGTGGCCAAATGTTGGCTCTGTGCCAAGGCTGCGCTAAAGGCTGCGCAGGGGAGGCTTGAGGCGCCTGCTCCTGCTCCTGCTGAACAGGCTCCCCAGGCTAATGTGGATAACTTGCTGCAAGCGATCAATGACAGTAACCAGGCGCAGCCCAAGCCAAACGCAAAGGCCAAGGCCAATATGATTCCAGAAGACTGGCGGAGACAATTTCGTCCCTTGCCACCGTTGTCAGAAGGCGTGGTCTGCGGCAGCCCCAACTTCCGCCAGACCTTCAGGCTGCCGCAAGTGTAGGGCAAAGGCTGGCTCTCCAGTGCCAGATGCTTGCAAAGCAAGACCACGTCACTGCCTTGTGGCGGCGTCAAAGAAAGAAGGAGGCCAGCCCGGCGGCAAAGCGCATGGCAGCGGGGCGAGGTCTTCCCAGCGTGCCCTTGCAATTGAAACGATAAGTGATCAAGCAGCACGCCCCAATTCCTCGCTGCTTTCAAATAAATTGCGTGCAGCTCTCTTTTCTTGGGAGATTTCACCTTATTTGCAATCACCTTGAAAAACCCGTCCGGAGTCTGCAGCGACTCCTGCCTCGCCCACAGAGAAGCGCTGGTCCATAGAATGTTGTGATAATCACTGACACACACAAACATGCGCATGCAACATTGAAAAGGTCAAACGCCGTGCTGGCGCGCGATGGCCAGCCTAAGGCAGCGCTTGAGTGCCATTGGCTTTAACAACGTCATTTGATTTGCCAAGGATCCTGAGCAATATGGGTGTGTCCCACCATCATTCCATTCCATGATGCAGCGCGGAAAAGCCAGG